CTGCAGTCTCAGAACCATACTTTACTTTAATGATGAGCTATTCAATCTTCTGAATCAATTAACTAAATTAAACCCCAATAAATCTGATGACTGATTTGATACATTTATTATTTAATCAAGATGTATTCCATGGGCCTCAGTGTTTATATATCAGTGACCAGTTACCTGAAGAAACTTCAAGTTATATCTAATGTCACTGATCTCACTGCAGTCCCTGAATCATACTTGACTGTAGTACTTGATCACATCCAGTCTTCTGGGTTAAATAATATGTAATAGGCTTGAATATTAGCCTTTCAAGAGTTGACAGGGAAATGAAATCGCATTAGACTTCTAACCCCTGCAACTCTAGTACGGGACATCCGTCCTGTACGAACAGACGCACAAATGTGTGATTACTAACTACTAACATCAAATTAATCTAATAATCCGAAGGAGGAGTATCGGTGTTCGTCTGTTCTAATTAGGACTTCGACCCGTGAGCAGCCCCCTGGGGAATTATGTCGGAAAATCCGACACCATTTAATAATCATACAGATAATAGCTGTATTACCAACAAGTTACCCATAGAAAACGTAACTTGTAGTGGAATTACCGTCTATAGAAAACGGGATATCATCACCACATACTATTATAATTCACCAGCTATTCTGCTGGGAATTATTCTTAAATACATTAGTCTTTGGACTTTACCATCATAAAAACATCTTATATAAATTAACTTAATTATCAATATTAAAGTAGAGTAAATGTGACCCTTCTATCACTTTCTGAAATCTGGACAAAGTAGGCCAGGCGTCAGAGGGAGGAAGGAGGCAGCCATTGTTGTGTCACCTCCGAGACGTGTGGAGCAAATTCGGCTCCTATCATTCTGGACAATGTCGGCCAGTAACGTCAATAGTATGGAGTGAAACAGCCATTGTGTTTATATTGAGACCAGAGGCTCACACGGGAGCAAATTCGGCTCCTGTTAATTTTACTTGGACGTAGTGTTATGGAAACCAAAGGTACCATCTCCAACACGCTGTCTACATATCAAGTTAAGTGTTCTTTCCGAAACCCATTATCTATCATTAGTGGCCATTAATGTCATTATATAGGGTGACCCGGTTAGAACGCGAAATCGCCTCATACTAAAGGTAATTAAGCCAGGTCTTTAATGTTCCATGTACTGTATAGTGTTTTCTCTGATATACTTGTCATATATAGGATTCTGGCTTCACAGCTAGCGCACTTTTGACAGGTCAAGACGAGGAAGGAAGATTTGTGCACCAGTTACTGGGTGATATGGAAGCTACCTCAAAGAGGATAATTTGGTGTCTACACCCTAGTTATACCTGGTGGACTAGCCTGCTGTACTATAAGATAAGGAACCTCTTCAATGTATGTAGTTAATTCTGTAGTTTGATTGGCTGCATATATATTAATTTAATAAACCCCCCTAATGTGTAGAGGATCGATTTGTGAGATTATGAGATTATTGCAGAAATACAGTCCACTTAACATTATACAAATTGCTATCGAAGTATATAAATTAACGTAAATATAAATTCATATAAATTAAATAAATATAAATCTCACAGGTCGGTTCCCACAAAGCAACAGTTGAGCAGCGGAGTTGCAGAATCTGTGAAGAGAGTGATGGACACCGCCTTGACCACTATCTACGTGACTGTGAACACCTGAGAGACATCAGAAGTATGTGTAGAATAAAAAAAACCACATTGTTTGAGTTAGGAAAATATTATTTGTCAAATATTGATACTGTTCTTGAAAGATTTCCCCATTTTGCAACCGAAAGATAACATAATATTTTCAGGGTGGACAGATGTTAATATTTTTGTTTGAGGAGCTGTTCACTTGAGACAGTTAAGCAAGTCCCAGCTGTGTCTGGGTACAAGTGACAAGATGAACAACCCAGCGGGTTTTCTTCCTATTGAGGAGTGTTGTACATGCTGCTATGGCGGTGTGTCCACTCACAGGATGAGTGGCGCTGCCCAATACTGTCACTATGGCGGTGTGTCCACTCACAGGATGAGTGGCGCTGCCCAATACTGTCACTATGGCGGTGTGTCCACTCACAGGATGAGTGGAGCTGCCCAATACTGTCACTATGGCGGTGTGTCCACTCACAGGATGAGTGGCGCTGCCCAATACTGTCACTATGGCGGTGTGTCCACTCACAGGATGAGTGGCGCTGCCCAATACTGTCACTATGGCGGTGTGTCCACTCACAGGATGAGTGACGCTGCCCAATACTGTCACTTTGGCGGTGTGTCCACTCACAGGATGAGTGGAGCTGCCCAATACTGTCACTATGGCGGTGTGTCCACTCACAGGATGAGTGGAGCTGCCCAATACTGTCACTATGGCGGTGTGTCCACTCACAGGATGAGTGGCGCTGCCCAATACTGTCACTATGGCGGTGTGTCCACTCACAGGATGAGTGACGCTGCCCAATACTGTCACTTTGGCGGTGTGTCCACTCACAGGATGAGTGGAGCTGCCCAATACTGTCACTATGGTGGTGTGTTCACTCACAGGATGAGCGGCGCTGCCCAATACTGTCACTATGGTGGTGTGTCCACTCACAGGATGAGTAACGCTGCCCAATACTGTCACTATGGCGGTGTGTCCACTCTCAGGATGAGTGGCGCTGCCCAATACTGTCACTATGGCGGTATGTCCACTCACAAGATGAGTGGCGCTGCCCAATACTGTCACTATGGCGGTATGTCCACTCACAAGATGAGTGGCGCTGCCCAATACTGTCACTATGGCGGTGTGTCCACTCACAGGATGAGTGGCGCTGCCCAATACTGTCACTATGGCGGCGTGTCCACTCACAGGATGAGTGGCGCTGCCCAATACTGTCACTATGGCGGTGTGTCCACTCACAGGATGAGTGGCGCTGCCCAATACTGTCACTATGGCTGCGTGTCCACTCACAGGATGAGTGGCGCTGCCCAATACTGTCACTATGGCGGCGTGTCCACTCACAGGATGAGTGGCGCTGCCCAATACTGTCACTATGGCGGTGTGTCCACTCACAGGATGAGTGGCGCTACCCAATACTGTCACTATGGCGGCGTGTCCACTCACAGGATGAGTGGCGCTGCCCAATACTGTCACTATGGTGGTGTGTCCACTCACAGGATGAGTGACGCTGCCCAATACTGTCACTATGGCGGTGTGTCCACTCACAGGATGAGTGGCGCTACCCAATACTGTCACTATGGCGGCGTGTCCACTCACAGGATGAGTGGCGCTGCCCAATACTGTCACTATGGCGGTGTGTCCACTCACAGGATGAGTGGCGCTGCCCAATACTGTCACTATGGCGGCGTGTCCACTCACAGGATGAGTGGCGCTGCCCAATACTGTCACTATGGCGGTGTGTCCACTCACAGGATGAGTGGCGCTGCCCAATACTGTCACTATGGCGGCGTGTCCACTCACAGGATGAGCGGCGCTGCCCAATAAACTCGCCCCTCGGGGCAAAATTTAAATTTAATTTAAGACAATGTATATATGATGGTTAGCATTGTAAATGTCTGGCCACGTCTGCGGTAGAACAAAAAATCATCAACCGACCTACAATCTCCGACGATATGACCTTTAACCTTCTAACGTCTGACCATACGACTTTGACCATCTATAACCTTTGATCACATGACCTTTGTCCACCTAGCATCTGAGTAGTTGACCTTTGACAACCTTAACGAGGCGTTATCGGCGTTAGTTTGCCTAATAGCCTGAGCCTCATTAGGTAGTATATGTCAGGAGCAATTGCAGCCGAACTACCGCAAGAGCCACAAACAAGAACACACCGCTGGGGGGGGGGGGGGGCTGGTAGCCTGGTGGATAGCGCGCAGGACTCGCAATTTTGTGGCGCGGGTTCGATTCCCACACCAAGTAGAAACAAACGGGCAAAGTTTCTTTCACCCTGAATGCCCCTGTTACCTAGCAGTAAATAGGTACCTGGGAGTTAGTCAGCTGTCACGGGCTGCTTCCTGGTGTGTGTGTGTGTGTGTGTGTGTGTGTGTGTGTGTGTGTGTGTGTGTGTGTGTGTGTGTGTGTGTGTGTGGTGTGGTGTGGAGAAAAAAAAGAAATAAAAAGTAGTTAGTAAACAGTTGATTGACAGTTGAGAGGCGGGCCGAAAGAGCAAAGCTCAACCCCCACAAACACAGCTAGGTGAACACAACTAGGTGAATACTAGATTTACATCACCATCGAAACACGTAACAATGACAGAATTAAAAAAAATACATATACATTTTGTACGAGTTTTCTTGCAACTGAGTTTGTCAAGTATATAGATCTTTCTGTTGCAGAATATCTTGTGAAGCCGAGTGATTACTCTAGTGGCCAGCTACTGACAATTGTTGTTACATCCTGATCGATGCTGAGGGTCGTTAGGGAGAGTAGTTAGGTGATTAATGACCCCCCAGGTGGCATAGATCATTTTGTGTCAGGGTAGGTGAACGTTGCAAGATTAAATGGAATATCTTCCCCTGGCCCAAAACGTCATATAATGCGACTGTTTTGTTTAATCAGAAACGTTCAGAAACTCACCTAACCTACTGAGACTGATGATCGGAATACGCCAATATTAAGGTGCTTTAACTTACTAAAACACAGCAGTTCTGGCGGATTGGTCGATTACGTTGAAAATGCGTCGTGTTACGAGAGAGAACTTCTCGTCAAGTCAGATTTCAAAATATTTTTTTTTTAGTTTTTTTTAACTCGTATTAATTTGTAAAAAAGTTGAAAGTCACTGAGCCAAACGTTGATGGAATATTCCAGAAACGGTAAGTAATTTGAGCCGGCAGATATACTAGAAGATTTCAAATCTAAATAGACCAATGAGAGAGGAGCTGATTTGAGTGAACCAATCAAAATGCTCGCACTTTGAGCTCAGCCAATGAGAGCAAGCGGGAACAGGCAGGAAGTTGTGACGTCACACAGTTGAGGGCAATATTAAACGTTTAATTTCACAGTGATCGGCGCCCCGCTGAGGCGAAGAGCAGCCATTGGCGGCAAGAGTGATGGTGATGATCAATCAAGCTATGACCAGCTGCGGGTGGTGATGGTGCATCACAAGGACTAGTCACGAAAAGGCCACACACTCCCCCTAGGCCCGTAGTCCACACCAGGGGGGCCGTAGTCCCCACCAGGGGGTCACAAGCCTCGGGCAACAGGTCGTGAAATCTTTTCTGGTGAGTCGCGGAACCTAAACTTCGAACATATCGGAATCATCGAGAATTTGCAAGAAGAGAGCATCCTGACTCAGTCCGTCTTCGAATACAAAGATCGAAGCTCGTTGATCCAGCCGCCAAACCCTCTGTTTTTGAATGAAAAGCGGTTTACACACGACTCACAACTGATGACTTCCGAACACTTCCGGAACAAGTGCTTCGCTCACGTCCTCTGTTCGAACCACAATTCTATAAATGCTTCACCCACGTACTTCTAATACAAATAATCGCCAAGAGAACCTAAACACCTAACCTAACCTATGCCTAACTATACATAAAAAATTTATGTATAATATTATTAATTTATATATGAGAAGAAACCAAGGTTTAATACACAGTGAAACAATTGATGAATGCGTCTGGGGAGGACGGCCGCTGCTTTATCCAGCCTAGTGTGAGGACGGGTTGTCTCGGGAAGACGACCGCTGCTTTAACCAGCCTAGTGTGAGGACGGGTTGTCTGGGGAAGACGGCCGCTGCTTTAACCAGCCTAGTGTGAGGACAGGTTGTCTGGGGAAGACGGCCGCTGCTTTAACCAGCCTAGTGTGAGGACGGGTTGTCTGATTACGCGATATTTCCATTTATGAAAGTGTGGCAGGAGGTCGTAGTCTTAAGTACTTCAAAGTACCGCAACGAGACCAAAAAGGCCAGGAGCACTGCCCAAGGTGGCGTCAAGTACGGTGGAGATGTTACTGACATAGCAGGAAATTAAGCATTATTGAGAGCCAGGAACAAGCAGAGCCAGACGCCAGAGAGACCTCCTTATCTTGAGATGAGATCTTGAGATGATTTCGGGGCTTTTTAGTGTCCCCGCGGCCCGGTCCTCGACCAGGCCTCCATGAGTCAAGCGGTGTCACCGGGTGACTCAAAGAAGCGATTCAAAGCTCAATTCGCAATTATACATATAAACACGATGTGATTATCGTGGAAAGGGAGTAATTAAATTAAGAGGTTAAGGTAATTATGAGAAGGAAACGCTAATCCAGTATGGCTAAATAACATCTGTAAGGGAAAAGGAGGACAAGGAGGTGGGATAGGAGGACAAGGTGGGATAGGAGGACAAGGAGGTGGGATAGGAGGACAAGGAGGTGGGACAGGAGGACAAGGAGGTGGGATAGGAGGACAAGGAGGTGGGATAGGAGGACAAGGAGGTGGGATAGGAGGACAAGGAGGTGGGATAGGAGGACAAGGAGGTGGGATAGGAGGACAAGGAGGTGGGATAGGAGGACAAGGAGGTGGGATAGGAGGACAAGGAGGTGGGATAGGAGGACAAGGAGGTGGGATAGGAGGACAAGGAGGTGGGACAGGAGGACAAGGAGGTGGGATAGGAGGACAAGGAGGTGGGATAGGAGGACAAGGAGGTGGGATAGGAGGACAAGGAGGTGGGATAGGAGGACAAGGAGGTGGGATAGAAGGACAAGGAGGTGGGATAGAAGGACAAGGAGGTGGGATAGGAGGACAAGGAGGTGGGATAGGAGGACAAGGAGGTGGGATAGGAGGACAAGGAGGTGGGATAGGAGGACAAGGAGGTGGGATAGGAGGACAAGGAGGTGGGATAGGAGGACAAGGAGGTGGGATAGGAGGACAAGGAGGTGGGATAGGAGGACAAGGTGGTGGGACAGGAGGGAGTAGTGCTCAACCAATTGGTCAGGACCTCCATTCACGAAGCTCCATGTATTTCTTCGTAAGCAGGTTTGTTATGAAGGTTCCTAAGTATGCCCTAAGAAGATGCTTAGGTGCGATTCAGGTAGGTAAACTTAGGAAGATATTTGGGTTCTGGGTCTGGTTCACCTGCGTGCCGATAGAGGTCACTACTGTGTTTCGTTTGGCCAATCAGAGAGCAGCAACATTCTTCATATTGAAGATTTAGCGCTGGCTTATCGGAGCTCTACTGCCGCCTATTTACGTCGAATTTTCATATAAAATTAGTATATTTTGAAGTAAAACTATGTTTTTTCAACTTCTACAGCAGCACCGACATTGTAGTAAACAAATATGTTACATTTGTTGTTTACCTACGTAATTCTAAGAGATACTGTGTAGCTGTCCTTGTTGCTCGGAAGATGCGCTGACAATTATTGTATATATTTACTGAATTTACCCAAGGGCCACTAACTATCTAGTGACCTCGAAGAGGACAGAAAGACGGCGGCTTGTTAAAGGGCCCGCCAATTGTTTTAAAGATATTGTTTTGCTGGAATTTGGCATTTACGGCTTCAGCGGGTAGGCGGTTCCATGGGATTATAATCCTCTTGGTGGAAAAAAATATATGTTTTCAGTCCTACTATAGAGAACATACTCTCCAACACTATATCTGTGATTGACCTGTTATCAGTGACTTCATACCAAATGGTATGAGGTATTTTGAGCTCTGTAATTACTTCATACACTCAGGAATATTGGAAGATATTCTTGTGCTGCACCCAGATTTTGCCAGTGGAGGCTAATAGGTGAGCCTTAAGTATTTTGTTCTCTCCTGATTCCATGTATGACTGGCCATCCTGTGAGGTGAGGATGTTGGGTGAGCTTGTAGCTGGTTTTTGATCTACACTGTGTGGTCCTTCATACAGAATAGGGAAGCAGCACATTGCTGTGTATACCTAAACATGTTTAAAAATACATTGTTTGAGAGGAGTCTTGTAGAAACTGGTAAGAGTTATTTTAATATAATGTTTCCATGATTCAGTGCTTAACTCTTGTGAAAATCGTGAAGTTCTTGTTTAGTCAGAGTTGATTTGTTTTTTGTATTGAGGCTGGTATTTTCTCCCTTGATTCCATGTATGTCTAACCATTCTGTGAGTATTAGATAAACTTATAATTTTTTATCTACACTGTGTAATATTCCATATAGCATAGGGTAGCAGCACATTCCTGTGTATACCTAAGCTTCTTAATATAAAAAATCAGTAATAAAGATTTTAAATTATAGTTTGTATTATTACAAGTATTATCTTTATTAAATCATGTTAACCATGGATCATTAAGATCTCATGTTGATATGTAATAGTCATATTTCTTTTGAATCATTCATTAAACTGTACATTATGTCTCAATTTTTCACTTTCTTGGATATCCTGTACAGTACAAAAAAATAGGATAAAAATAAACCAGTAATATTTCTTTCATTATATTTTTTATTTAAATAACTGCATCAATATTTTTACAGCTGACAGGATTTGTTTTACCATACAGGTGCATTATTTGTTAAAAAAAAAAATTTGGTTCATTGTTACACACAATGGTGCTACATAGCCTTCCCAGCTTGGTGCCTTCTTTTAATACTTACTTACTGATTAATATATAAATAATAATAAATACATTTTATTCAGGAAAAGTACATACATAGTTGATTTACAAACATAATGTTGGATTTATAGAGAGAGCTAGTACATACAATACCTAAAGCCACTAATACTCATAGCATTGCGGGCAAGGTGTGGGGGGAAAAGCACTTAGATTAAAACTTAATAGTAATTGGGATTAGGTATAAATTGTGTTGAAAGAAGGAATAAAAAATAAAAAAGGGGGGAAATAGCAGAAATCAGCAAACTTATACTATAGCAATTGTACACAGTGAACAATTAGCAGTGTTTAAAAAATAGCAAGACATGGGTTGATATTTAGGGGGTAAGGTAGGTTATATGGAGTTAATTAGGTAGTACTTGGTTTTTCTCTTAAACTGGTTGAGAAAGGAACAGCCTTTGACATGATTCGGGAGGTCATTCCACATTCTGGTCCCTTGATTTGTAGAGCACTTCTAGTTTGGTTACACACAGCCAAATTGTGTAACAGGAAGAGGACTTGGACACAAATTTGTTCCATGTTAAAAGTAGAGGAATCAGCTGAGTATTCCTCAAATAAAATAAGTTGCCTCAGCTTATAAGGTAAATAAAATAAGCATTCCTCGAATAAGTAGCTGCCTCACCTCACTGCCTTACTGCTACATAGCCTTCCCGGCATGGTGCCTTCTTTTGATAATTACTTGTTCCACACCCAAGTTGTGTAACAGGAAGAGGTCTTGGACCCCTACTTCCCTCTCTCTTTTTTAATAGTCCATATAGTCATAATTATAGCTTTAAGTATTCAATGAGAAAAGATTTTGAAGTTTTTACCCTTCTCCTTACCTAACATCATTTGTGCAGCATATTTTTATTTTATGTCTCACCCAGATTTAATTTAAAAATAAAACCAAACTAAAAGAATTAGAAATGGGTATGTATAGCTAAGGTACACCCTTACTACTAGGTGAACAGGGGCATTTGGTGATAGTAAATGATCCCATCAGGCAGGGCTCATCACCTTCTCTCATATTTCATGTTCACCAGTGTTTATTTACTTAATAACTACGGGTATAATATCTTGCTATTATAAAACTAATTCTAATATCATAAAAGACATATTTACTTCAAGTTTCAAGCAGAAAATGCATATATAACTAACACGAAGGACTCCTCTTCACGAGATTCACCAGCTATAATCTTTTTATTTTTATTACAATCGATCCTCCGTGTTGTGTAGTAGAGAAAAATTGACTTATATCCAGTTTACGTAAAGTTACGAGTGGTCGACAGCACACTTAGCTGACGGAGCAAACTTACGAAGGTTTTTCTTCTTAGTGTAGCTACCTGAGTACCGACGTAGCCGCTACGAAGGCTAAGAAGGAAAAACATTCGTAAGTACCTTCGTGGATCTGGCCCCAGGAGGACGAGGAAACGCTGAAGGAACTTACTCTTACTCCAGTAGATTTCAGACGTGAAAGAGGAGATATGATAACGAGATACAAGATCCTATGGAATATTAATAAAATACATAAAGCCAAAGTGTCCAGCAGGTGTACAAATGTGAGATGTACAGGTGTCGTAAGTAATTGTGTAAATATTTGATCAATCTTGGCCCAGGGGCCGGGTCCCCTGCAGGCACAATCAGGGGAGAGCAATCAAGCCCACTCAGCCACCAGCTCGTCCAACAAGCAGCCCGGGGATGAATTATGAAGAGGGTAGTTATGCAGACACTCATCATAGTGAGTTGTTATAAGACGACCGCCTCGCCGCGGGCTCCACCACCACCACACGTGTTGGCCAGCACTGGACACTTGCGCCGCGGGGCTCCACCACCACACGTGTTGGCCCGCGCCTGGACACTTGCGCCGCGGGGCTCCACCACCACACGTGTTGGCCCGCGCCTGGACACTTGCGCCGCGGGGCTCCACCACCACACGTGTTGGCCCGCGCCTGGACACTTGTTCCGCGGGGCTCCACCACCACACGTGTTGGCCCGCGCCTGGACACTTGCGCCGCGGGGCTCCACCACCACACGTGTTGGCCCGCGCCTGGACACTTGCGCCGCGGGGCTCCACCACCACACGTGTTGGCCAGCGCCTGGACACTTGCGCCGCGGGGCTCCACCACCACACGTGTTGGCCAGCGCCTGGACACTTGCGCCGCGGGGTTCCACCACCACACGTGTTGGCCCACGCCTGGACACTTGTACCGCGGGGCTCCACCACCACACGTGTTGTCTAGCACTGGACACTAGCGCCGCGGGGCTCCACCACCACACGTGTTGGCCAGCTGGACACTTGCGCCGCGGGGCTCCACCACCACACGTGTTGGCCAGCGCCTGGACACTTGCGCCGCGGGGCTCCACCACCACACGTGTTGTCTAGCACTGGACACTTGCGCCGCGGGGCTCCACCACCACACGTGTTGGCCAGCGCCTGGACACTTGCGCCGCGGGGCTCCACCACCACACGTGTTGTCTAGCACTGGACACTTGCGCCGCGGGCTCTGGTTACCGCAGCTGTTGTTTGTGCTTGTTTGTGGGGTGGGGGGTGGGGGAAGGAAACTATCAGGAGAATGCACCAAGCCATTACGACTATATAACACTGGGAAAGGGTCAGGATAAGGATTTGGGATGGGACGGAGGGAAAGGAATGGTGCCCAACCACTTGGACGGTCGGGGGATTGAGCGCCGACCTGAGATGGAAGCATGTATTAACTTCTGGAGCATGTATCAATACAGGAAAGTTCTTCCATGTATTTTCTTTGCAAGAGAATACCTGCGCATTACGTAGCACAGTTATCACTGATAATTATTAAAATAACTTTTAATACAGTACTGTGAATGATTACACAGTGTTGCACAGTTACAAAACTGACTGGTAACTAAATATGAACGTTAAAAATGTAAAAGTTTGTTCTCTAGAGGCTGTAGATCCCAGTGAGTGGCCAGGACCCGAGGATGCAGCGGGCATTCCCCCTCTGGATCACCACACTGAGGCGGAGACCAACGAAGCTCACTGCTTTAGGGTCTTTAGTTGTTCCACAGAGCCTTTTACCCAGATCCTTGAGAAAACCCCTTGCAAAGGCCCCCCCGCCCCCTCCACGAACCCCCCCCCCCAATGGACCAATAATTTCGGATCCTATATATATATGAACAAAGTTCTTTCGGAAGCCCATTACCCCATACTTTTGTTATTCTCTGTGTATAGCAGAAACTTTTGGTTGGTCAACAGTGAGGGTGGCCACATATGTATATACAGTACTTGAATGAGGGTGGCCACATATGTATATACTTGTATACATGTGGCTGCCAAGGCAGAGGGAAGTATAGCCTCACATGAGCTGTATACCAAGGAACGGGTCGAGCAGCATGAGGCAGTAGCATTACTGGGCATAGTTCTGGAAGCAACAGCATAGTTACTGGGAGCAGCGGCCCGCAGCCTCCTTGCTGGCTAGGTTGGTTTGGAATGATAAGAATTTTGATGTTATTAAAGTTTATGATAATATAAATATCAATAATATTAGCAATTGCAGTCTCGCTTCTCTCTCCCAGGACAACACGATGAGAATCCAGTCCTCCAACACTGCTCTCGTTGGAGACCATCTCCAACACTGGACTACACACTCACTACCATCAATCCTAATTATTGCCTCCAACACCTGTAAGCACTGACTCTTATCACTCGTGTCCTAAGCCCTCATCATTGTTGTCATCATCCCTCTCTCTCTAAAATCTTCCCCCTTCAATCACCCCCTCTCTCCAACAACTTCCCCTACAATCACCCCCTCTCTCCAACAACTTCCCTACAATCACCCCCTCTCTCCAACAACTTCCCCTACAATCACACCCTCTCTCCAACATCTTCCCTACAATCACCCCCTCTCTCCAACAACTTCCCCTACAATCACCCCCTCTCTCCAACATCTTCCCCCTACAATCACTCCCTCTCTCCAACAACTTCCCTCCTACAATCACCCCCTTTCTCCAACATCTTCCCCCTACAATCACCCCTCTCTCTCTCCAACATCTTCCCCCTACAATCACCCCCCTCTCTCCAACAACTTGCCCTACAATCACCCCCTCTCTCTCCAACAACTTGCCCTACAATCACCCCCTCTCTCTCCAACAGCTCTCCCCCCAACAGTCACCAGCCCCCCACAATGAGAGGAGTGGTGTGGTTCGTGACCCTGGGCGTCTGCTGGGACCTGGCGGGCAGACTCCAGGATGGTCGGCTCACGCATGCCCTGGATAACTCTCTCTCTCTCTCTCTCGTCTCTCAATGGGAGAGAGAAGAGAGAGAGAGAGAGAGGAGAGAGAGAGAGAGAGAGAGAGACAGAGAGGAGACAGAGAGAGAGAGAGAGAGAGAGAGAGAAAGAGAGAGAGAGAGAGAGAGAGAGAGAGAAGAGAGAGAGAGAGAGAGAGAGAGAGAGAAAGAGAGAGAGAGAGAGAGAGAGAGAGAGAAAGAGAGAGAGAGAAAGAGAGAGAGAGAGAGAGAGAGAGAGAGAGAGAGAGAGAGAGAGAAAGAGAGAGAGAGAGAGAGAGAGAGAGAGAGAGAGAGAGAGAGAGAGAGAGAAGGAGAGAGAGAGAGAGAGAGAGAGAGAGAGAGAGAGAGAAAGAGAGGACTAATTCTACTCTTTATTTACTCTATTTCCTAATTTTTGTCTTCTCTCTGGGTTCTTAACCCTTTAACTGCTATTCCCGTCTTAGAGCGGGAAAGAGATGTCACGCTGCCACTAGCGTCCAAGGGCGCTTAATACCTACTTTTGTCAGGACTGGGAAGCCTGTTAAACTTTTCCAATTTCCCCTAAGAATGACCTTTTTCCAAAAGGCAACCCACAACAGTTGTCTAAGTCAGGGGCGTGTATTTACAACCAGGTGAAGAGGAGCATCATGTCTAGACAATCCCAAAATGTTCCGCATGCACTGGAAATGAGCACTTGGTGGGGGGGGGGGGGCTTGCTCATCACTAAGATAGTCAGATCATCACTAAGATGAGGCAGCTCTTCACTAACATGAGTAACATGAGTCAGTTCATCACTAAGCTCATATATATCACTCATTACTCACACGACCACCCCGTCTCCCCTTCTCACCCCCCCCCCCGCCCCCCAGCAACTACCGCAGCCACCACCACCACCACCACCGCCGCCACCACAACTACCCACCACCACAACCATCACTCTCCAGTTGCTCAACCGTGTCTTATCGAGCGTCGTGGAGGAGGACCCGTCACATCAAGATCTGGGAGGACAACAAATTCCTTTCGCTATCACTAATGTAAGTTTGTGTTATCTTATTGATATCTTGCTTACCTGTCCTCACCTTAAGGTCCTTGTTGCCACCTTGATTACCTGTCCCCATCACTGTAGTTGTAACACCTTCCCCGTCACTGTAACACCTCCCCCTTCACTGTAACACCTTCCCCTCACTCACCCTCACCTTCACTCCCCTCCACTGTACTCACCCTCCCCTTCACTGTAACACCCTCCCCTTCACTCCCTCCCCTTCAACACCTTCCCTTCACTGCAACACCTTCCCCTTCACTGTAACACCCTCCCCTTCACTGTACACCCTCCCCTTCACTGTCACCCTCCCCTTCACTGTAACACCTTCCCCTTCACTTCAACACCTTCCCCTTCACTGTCACACCCTCCCCTTCACTGTAACACCTCCCCCTTCACTTCAACACCCTCCCCTTCACTGTAACCTTCCCCTTCAATGTAACACCCTCCCCTTCACTGTAACACCCTCCCCTTCACTCACCCTGCCCTTCACTCCCCTCCCCTGTAACACCCTCCCCTTCACTGTAACACCTCCCCCTTCACTGTAACACCTCTCCCTTCACTGTAACACCTCCCCTTCACTGTAACACCTCCCCTTCACTGTAACACCCTCCCCTTCACTGTAACACCTCCCCTTCACTCACACCTCCCCTTCACTGTAACACCCTCCCCTTCACTGTAACACCTCCCCTTCACTGTAACCTCCCCTTCACTCACCTTCCCCTTCACTCCCCATTCACTTCACTCACCCTCCCCTTCACTGTAACACCCTCCCCTTCACACTAACACCCTCCCCTTCACTCACACCTTCCCCTTCACTGTCACACCTCCCCATTCACTAACACCTTCCCCTTCACTAACACCTTCCCCTTCACTGTAACACCTCCCCTTCACTGTAACACCTCCCCTTCACTGTAACACCTCCCCCTCACTGTAACACCTCCCCCTTCACTGTAACACCTTCCCCTTCACTGTAACACCTCCCCATTCACTATAACACCTTCCCCTTCACTGTAACACCTTCCCCTTCACTGTAACACCTTCCCCT